TGCCTGATGAACATAGATGCTAAAATCCTCAACAAAATATTAGCAAATAACATTCAGCAATATATTAAAAAAGATCATACACCATGATCAAGTGGGATTTATTCCGGGGGTGCTAGGCTAGTACAACATTGGCAAACCAATAAGTGTGATACATCACATAAACAAACTGAAAGACAAATATCACATGATCATATCAATAGACCCAGAGAAAGCATTCTACAAAATCCATCACCCATTTTTTTATAAAAACTCTCAGCAAAGTGGGAATATAGGGAGCATATCTGAACATAATAAAGACAATATATAACAAACCTACAGCCAACGTCATACTTAATGGGCAAAAACCTAAAATAATTTCCCCTAAAAACAGGAACAAAACGGGGATGCCCATTTTTACCACTCCTGTTCGACATAGTACTGGAAGTGCTAACCATAGCAATAAGACAACAAAAAGAAATAAAATGCATCCAAATTGGAAAAGAAGTAAAACTGTCATTATTCACAAATGACACGATATTGAAATAGAAAACCCCAGTATGGAGTTTTTTCAAAAAATTAAAAATGGAACTCACATTTAACCCAGTCATCCCATCTCTAGGAATATATCCCAAGAAATCAGAAACACCAATCAGAAAGGATATATACTGAGTGGCCAGATTATTATGAAATCTGGCCTCTCAGTGTGTGTGTGTGTGTGTGTGTGTGTGTGTGTGTGTGTGTGTGTAAACATAAACATAAAATAAACATAAACATAAACATAAACATAAATTAGAAGCCCAGTGCATGAATTTGTGCATGAGTGGGGCCTCGCCAGCCTGGCCAGGGCGAGGGGACATGGGCAGTTGGCTGGCTTGCCTGCTGGTCACACTCCTGGTCCAGGGGACAATTTGCATATTAGCCTTTTATTATATAGGATATACACTGCATGGTGAGATTATTATGGGTTCAGAGATCAGAATAATCTGGCCACTCAGTGTATGCACCCCATTGTTCATAGCAGCACCATTTCCAATAGCTAGGATTTGGAAACAGCTTAAGTGCCCATCAGCAGATGAGTGGATTAAAAGCTGTGGTACATTTATACAATGGAATACTACACTGCTATAAAAAAGAAGGAACTCATCATTTGCAGCAGCATGGATGGACCTGGAAAGCATTATGCTAAGTGAAATAAGCCAGTCAGAGAAAGACAATATCACATGATCTCATTCATTTGTGGAATATAATTAAAACATAAACTGATGAACAAAAATAGAGCCAGAGTACAAAAAATATTTTAGAATATAATAGAAGTAATCCTGTTATTTGCAGATTTTTAATATTTCCTACAATTTCTGTGATATTATACTGTGTTAGTTTTGGTAATATTATTATAATTAAAAATTTTTTTTGAAATATGAATGTTTATTGAATATAATATTATTATATTTAAAATCATTTTTCTTAAAATATTGTTATTGCATGTAAATGGTAATTATTTTGTATCTAAAATCTGGTAATGATTTATTTTGTATATTGTAAATAAAATAAAGAGTTAAAAAAAAAAAAAGAGTTCTCAGACACGCAAGATCTCAAAATATGTATCTCCCATGCACCGTTTCTGGAAGCTATGAGATTATTGTATAGATATAGATATTAAAAAAAAAAAAAAAGCAACTCCATCTCTGTGTCTAGGATTTAATTTAATTTTTAAGTTTTATGCTGGGCCTTTGATCAAATTTACTATATTTAGTAAGCATATCAAACAAAGCCTGTGTTTATGGTGATCTGTGGTCCTTTAAATGTAGCCATAAATATTCTTATTAGTAATAGCCAGAATGACATGACAACTGAGATAAATATCAAACTGTTAAAAGTATCAATTATAAACCATCATCTGTCACAAGACCACCAGGAGGGATAGCCCCTGTTCTGCTGCATTCCTTATCCCCTTGTCTTGTCAGTCATTAGTACCTGAGTTATACTGTAGTAAGTACAGAGACAGGGGTCTGTATAAGAGAATAATTTGCATAGAATTTCTGGGTTGTCTGTTCCATTCCCACCCAATCTTTCCATAAGCAAATTACCCTATAATAAATTCTATTATATTTTACTAGAGACCCAGTGAACGAATTTGTGCACCAGTGGGGTCCTTCAGCCTGTCCAGTGGGATTGGGCTAAAATAGGCCTTCTAACATCCCCTGAGAGGTTTTGGATTGTGAGAGGGCACAGGCCAGGCTGAGGGACCCCAGCTGTGCATAATCAGGGCTGAGGAGGGAGGCAGGAGGTTGACCACCTCGCTCAGTTCTGATTGGCCCAACCCAAGGAGCAAGCTAACATACCAGTTGGAGCATCTGCCCCTGCTGGTCAGTGTATGTCATAGCGACTGGTTGACTGCCCCCTGGTGGTCAGTGCATGTTATAGCAAGTGGTTGAGTGGCCTTAGCATATCATTAGCATATTACTCTTTGATTGGTTGAACAGATGACCAAACAATCAGACACTTAGAATAATAGGCTTTTATTATATAAGATGGAGTTGCCAAATTCATCTTTTGGTCTAAAGAAGATACCTTTCATTATCATGGCCAGTACACTTTTGTTTCACTGTTGAACAGATGAATAAACTAGTGAGGGATGAGGTGGGATCCAGGAAGCAAGAAATCAACCCAAGAGGTGACAGGGAGCCTGAGTAATGGAGGAGGCTTCCCTGTGAGCATCCGGACACAGGCCTCTAAAGAAACCGAGCTGAGCGGGTCAGAGGCTCAGCGAGGGAGTTCTTCCAGAAGACGACAGAAGAGAAGTTCTTCCTTTGACAGAGGACTTTACTAGTATGTGTTTACCTAGGTCCAGAGGAGATTTATCCTGCTTAGATTGAATTAGTGATATGTATTTTTAAAAGTTAATAAATATATTATATATATTATAAATATATTATATATATGATAAATAAAGCTAAGCCTCCAACATCACCCCATCACACACACCCTTCAAGAAAAAGACAATTAGTAATTCTAGGGGAAACAAAAGCTGTCAAAAAAGATGATAGTAAGGGCATTGAAGAAAAAAACAAGGAGTCTGTGAGTGTACTTAATGGGGGGACCTACTTTAGCCTGGGAGGTATCAGAAGGGATGTTCTGAGGAGGTGATGTATAATGGAAGCCTGAAATGCCAGAAGGAACCAGCTGCAGCAGAAGGGGCTGAGGTTTGGGGAGGATCTTTGCATTCTAAAGCCCTGGTGTGCTTCGGAGGATTGGGGGGGGGGGGGAGGAGTTCAGGGGGTTTAGAGACTGTGAGCTCCTCAGAACATCTGGGAGGTGGCATGGCCCTTGCATGAGTGAGAGGGTGTATGCGCTGTGCAGAAGCACAGTGAAGCCCCTCTGCCAGGAAGCCCTGCCTGACTGGCACAGAAGTCACTGATTTACTGAATTCTGGATGTATGTGCTTTCAGCTTCTGGTTGGCCCACCAAATTTAGGACTTTCCCCAAATTCTCTACACAATAGTAATGATAACAGTCAGGGCTTCACCTGCAGTGGGAGGGAGCTCAGTTAGACTCTAAGAATATCTTTAGCATCAGACCAGGGCGTTTTTCAGGCAGCACACTGCTTCCCAGAACTTCTGCAGCCTTGCTTTGTAGCAAGGGAATGAGGATGTGATGAGATGGGATGGGGCTCTCTGGAGATAGTTTCAGCCTCAGATGATACCTTTCGACCTTGGCCCTGCCAAGAGGGTAAGTTGAGTCATGAAGAGAATTCAGCCAGGTATACAGAAAGAAGGAAATGAAACTTGGGGAGGAGGACTGAAGGGACATGAGTAGACTTGTGCTGTGGAAAGCAAAAATATTCCATCTAGAAAGTTTTCAAGGGCTCCTTCATGTTTTGGCTTTTCTTCTAGCTTTGGTTTGGGGTCTCTTTCTTATCCTCATTCCCTCTTTCCTTGGGCATCCAGTTTGGAATAAAGGGATCAGATATCCTCACCCTGAAGGCATATGTCCCTTTCTTACAGGTAGTGTTAGGACATGGAGCTCAGGGATTCCAAGCATAATAGGAGGCTACAGAGAATATTCCAGAATGAGTGAAGTTCCTCCACCTCACCTCTGCCTGCCAGGTGGGCAGTCCTGGGCAATGGAACCACTTCTGTGAACCTGGGTGTCTCATAGTCCCAGCAAAGGAAACAGAAGTCCAGCTGGTTCTTGTCCCCAGCTTCCTACTATTGGATAGGAGCAAATTACTTCCCTGTCTGCCTCCCTAGCCCTACCCACCACTCAGTGCGATGGGGAATTGGGGCTGAGACTGGAGACCTCCCTGGATAGCAGCATGTGTTTAGGGCAGCCCAATTGTAGAGCCAGCAGGCAGGCCCAACACAGGGGAAAAGAATGTGTTTTCTTATAAAAGCAAGTCTTTTTTGGCTTCTCACTGAAGCTTTGAAGCCTGATGAGTGTTTCATACATTTGGGACTTCCAGCTTTTCATTGAGACACACCCTTCACCCAAATAGACACACGGATGCAGAGATTCATACTCACTCTTAACACAAATGCATACATGCACCCATGCCCAAATACACGTACAAACTCACACACAGAGACCAAAACACGCAAAGACAGTCTCACACATACTCAAACACAAATACACTCAAACATTCCCAAATAAACACACAAATTCACAGTCTCACACCCACATTCACACACACACACATACAAACTCATTCCCATACTGAGCTGTCACGCCCACATGTACATGCACATATAAATATACACATAACCACTCACATGGCCCCAGCTTAGAAAACGGTCTCCCATTTTTTCTTATTTAAAGTGAGATTAGAAGTCTCTTATCTTCCTTAAGATTCGGTTTCTTACCCTTCCCAGCATAAAATCCCTCTGCCTGTCTTTTCTTGGGTCTTGCCAGCTAGTGTGTGACTTTAAGGAAGCTGAAGCTGCTGAAAGTGAGAGACAGAGGGGGAAAAAGAGAGAGAGAAAAAAAATTGGCATCTTCCCCTTCAAGTTTCTGATGTCACTTATGAAAAACAGATCCTGGTTGTGCAGAGCAGCAGTTGTTTTGCTGGAGGAAGGGAGTGTGCAGGCTGCCTGGGCCCCTTCCTGGAGCCTCCTCTTAGCAGCTGGTCCCAGGCTTCGGGGTGCAGGGACCAGGCTGCCCCTTCCTCCAGCAAGCCCCTCTTCCCTTTGTGTCCTTGGCCCTGAAGACGGTCCTGGTTAACTCTGGCTTTTGTTGCTTTCTGGTTCCAAATTAAGAGAGACTCTCCTTGGCCAAGAAAGAGCACTTTGAAGGTAAGCCAAGGGGAAGAGGACTCCAAGGGCCAGCAGAAGGGGGCTGCTGGGCCCAGGGGTTCCCTGGGCATTCTCCTGTGGTTTAGGGTGCTTTGGACAATCCCTTGTTTGGACCTATCCAGGGGCATCTGCAACAACCACAACCCCGAAATCCCAGCAGCATTTGGGCTGAGCCTCTGGCCTAGCCCAAGCCAGCTGAGAGGTCCCGGCAGGGTTTATTTAGTCAGCTGCCTGGCATAGACTTAACAGAACAGGCCACAGGGGTGATTCTGTAGAAAGGTGTCTACCGTGGTCAGGGCCAGTAGGAGCAAGAAGGGGGTGGGGTGGTGTGCACCGCACCAGGGGCTTTGTCTGGGCTAGGGCAAAGCATGCCTTTTGGGCGGCTCCTGTGGGAGGGGCTATGGCCTGGATGCCTAGCAGGAGGGAGGTTCTGCAGAGTGCTGGGGGAGGGGTGGACTAGAAAACAGATTTCAAGTCATAAAGTCAGCTAGGAACTAGCCAAGGCAAGGCGAGGAGCTAGGATTCTCTTCCATCCTGTTGTCACCTCTCCTGGCTGCATGACCTCAAGCAAGTCCTGGCCCTTCTTTGGGCCTTGGTTTACCGTTCTGTAAAATAAGGGTGCTGGGCTAAATGGTGTTGGGTTTTAGCTGGCTTGTGTGGGGCAAGACCTTCTGATGGGGACGAGCTCTGGGTTGAGCTCGGGACTGGCACGGCTGTCTTCCACGGGTCCTTGGAGTCACCCCGGTGGCATGTTCTTCCCTGCAGGAGGGAGGATGCAGGAGCTGTGTCTGCTGTGCTGGGCGGTCCTCCTGAGCCTGGGGCAGGCCTGTCCTGAGCCCTGCGACTGTGGGGAGAAGTACGGCTTCCAGATTGCCAACTGTGCCTACCGCGACCTGGAGGCTGTGCCGCCTGGCTTCCTAGCCAACGTGACCACATTGAGCCTGTCAGTCAATCGGCTGCCCAGCTTGCCAGAGGGTGCCTTCAGGGAGGTGCCCCTGCTGCAGTCTCTGTGGCTGGCACACAACGAGATTCGCACAGTGGCTGCTGGCGCTCTGACTTCACTGGGCCATCTCAAGAGCCTGGACCTTAGCCACAACTTCATCTCTGACTTTGCCTGGAGCAACCTGCACAACCTCAGTGCCCTCCAGTTACTCAAGATGGACAGCAATGAGCTAACCTTCATTCCCCGAGATGCCTTCCACAGTCTTCATGCCCTACACTCACTGCAGCTCAATCACAACTGCTTGCACACACTGGCTGAGGGCACCTTTGCACCACTCACCGTGCTGTCCCACCTGCAGATCAATAACAACCCTTTCCAGTGTACCTGTGGCATCATGTGGTTCAAGACATGGGCCCTGACCACAGCTGCTTCCATCCCAGAGCAGGACAACATCACCTGCACTTCACCTGATGTGCTGAAGGGCACACCGCTGACCCGCCTGCTGCCACTGCCTTGTTCAGCACCCTTGGCGCAACTTACCTACCAGCCCAGCCAGGATGGTGCCGAGCTGCAGCCTGGCTTCATGCTGGCACTCCATTGTGATGTGGAGGGGCAGCCAGCCCCGCAGCTCCACTGGCACATCCAGATGCCTGGCGGCACGGTGGAGATCACCAGCCCCAACGTGGGTGCTGATGGACATGCCCTGGCAGCCAGCAGCCAGCCACGCTTCCAGGCCTTTGCTAACGGCAGCCTGTTCATCCCTGGCTTTGGCAAGCCGGAGGAAGGCACCTACAGCTGCGTGGCCACCAATGAGCTGGGCAGTGCAAAAAGCTCAGTGAACTTGGCACTAGCTGCTCCAGGCGAGAGGGACAAAGATGTGCTGGGGCGCAAGTTCAATGGCAAAAGTGCCGAGGGTAAGGGATGCTATACGGTCGACAACGAGGTACAGCCATCAGATCCTGAGGACAATGTGGTCATCATTTACCTCAGCCGCAATGGAGGCCTGGAGGCTGCAGAAGTAAGGGGTGGGGTCTCTGGGCAGCAGCCCCCAGGCCTGCTTCTGCTGGGCCAGAGCCTCCTTCTCCTCCTCTTCACTTTCTTCTAGCTCTGCCCCACCACCCACCACCCAACTGAGCTGCCCCAGCCCCAGGGCCTCCTTGACTCCTCCCCCTGACTCAGGGGATGTCCATGCAGAAGTCTGGGGTTGGCAACTCCCAAGACCTGCTTGAGGATATCACATCTTCCTACCTCCCCTTCTCATCTCTTCTGGGGCACTCACCACATCCACTTCTAGACTTGCTCAGTGCTGGTGACTAGGTCAGAATTTGATCCCATAACTCATGGGCCTTCAGTATACCTTGCTGCTAACAACATAGCCCATGACCCCCTAGCATGCTAACAGGGCACCACCCTAAACAACGGGGGAAAGCCTCACCGGTGGAATCCAGGGACTGGGTCTGACCAGCTGGTGAAAGCTGGGGGCTTAGGCCTTAGCAGGGAAATAGCCTGAAGCAGACAGGGCACAGGAGAAAGGAATGGGATAGAGGGATAGAGGCTGGTGTGGCTTTGAGACTCGCAGTGACCTGCTTGAGCTCCTGCTGCCCTGGCTCGTTCCCTAATAACTTGGGGGCTCCAAATTCTCTACCCCAGTCTCAGACAGGACAGGAGGATCGCGGGGCCTTCCTCTTCTCACCCTTCCTCCTTTAGCCTCTGTCCTGCCATCCTGAACACCTGCCCTGCCTTTCTCTCCAAGTGTGCATCTGTAGCCTACCCCTCCGAGGAGGCCAGCCAGCCTGGAGACAGCGGAGGAATAAATAGCATTTCTGACGCTCCCCTGTGTCTGCCTGGAGTTTCATCTGATTTAGAAGCCTCTGTCAGGGGTAGGACAGGGGCTGGAGAGTCAGGATGGCCAGCTGGCCTGTCTACATGGGACAGGCCTGTGAAACACACATTGATTATGTGGCAGGCAGTAGCATGGGTGGCCCAGTGGAGGTTGAGCCCCCAGCTGAGCTGAGTTGCAGATGTCCTTCCCCCCAAATTAGCCCACGAGGCAAATGGTGGCACTAGCTACTGAGACTTCCCTGGGACCTTGAGTGGTGCTGTATGCAGTAAGTGTGTGAGGAGGCATGGTAGAGATGGGGAAAGAGCCTGGATTGTGGTCCTCTTGCTGTTCCACTCCATGTTAGAGATGTCAGGGAGTGTAGGTGGAAGGAGGACAGGTTAGGCAAGATGGAGAAGTGAGAGAAGGGAGAGGATATAAGACATAGAGGAGAGGAGGATGGAAGGAAGAAAAAGGAGCTAGGAGTCTGAGGAGAACAAAGTTGAGGGAGAAGCCAAAGGAAATGGATGTCCTTCCTCCCACCTTTTCAGGAAGAGGAAATGGCATTTCTGGAGGAAAGTCCTTTCATAGGAGTCTTTTCCCACAGAACAGATGGACCAGTAACTGACTTGGAAGGGAAGGGGGCAGATAGGATGAGGGCGTGGCAGCAGCCTGCAGATCTCTTAGGATGGGGAGCAGGTAGATGGGGTCAGGACCTGGGGATTGTAAGAACGACCTATCTGTGCTGGGTCATATATATCTCCCTTCTGCTTCCATCCCCGTCCCTTTCCAAATCTAAGGGTGTCACACATAGGACAAGACCCCGTGGGAGAGGCTCTGCCACCTCTGCCCAGAGCTCTCAGGACTGCTGAGCACAGCAAAGTAGAGGCAGAGAGACCAAGGAGCCTGAGGTAGCAGCTATGAGCCTTGGAGGCTGGCCAGCCTCCCTCTCCCCTCCTGCTGGTCTACATTTGGCACTTCTCCACCCCCTCTTCAGCTTGCAGCTCCCACTGAACAGATGACACCAGCAGCACATGTCAAGGACTGTGTATCTGGTTGAAAAAACAGCAAGAGCCCCTGTGCTGTGCCACCTTAAATAAGTCACTACCCATCTCTGTACTTTGTTTCCTTGGGGGGTAACAGGGGGCGCAGGGGGGAGAGACAGACACTGTCTGTTGGTTGGAGCATTGTCCTGTATAGGGAAAGGCAGTCAGTGTTCCTCTCCCTGTCCCCACCCCCCTCTGTCTTTCTTTCTCTCCCCCTTCCTCTCTCTCTCTCTTAAAAAAAAAAAAAAAAATCAATAAAAGCATATATCCTTAGGTGAAAATTAAGATGCCATATTTCTGAATAAAAGAATGAGTACAATTTAAAAAAAAAAATGAGGTAGGACATGGTAGTGCTTAAGGGTCCAGTTGACTCTGATTCACTATGGCTTGATAACTCTAACCTGACTTGGACCTCTGTTGTCTCTGTGGCTCCATACAGTTGAACAGGCCTGGCCTTTTGGAGTAGGACATGGCCCCAAGGCCTGAGTCAGGGGCGATGGGGAACAGCTGTGCTCCAAATGAACTGGCTGCTCTCCTGCTTTAAAGTCATCCATGGCGCCCACTGCCTTGGGAAGCTCTGAGTTCCCCAGCCAAGTATTCATGGCCACTTTGACTGGCTCTCCCAGGTCCCCCACCCCTCCTGGCCTCCCTTAGAACTAATGACTTGTTTTCTAAATGCTCTGAGATGAGTCTTCTTCTGCACCGTTATTCATGACTTGGCTAGTCAGCCTTTGAGACTTGGCTCAGGTACCACATCCTCCAGAAAGCCTTCCTGGATGCCCTGCCACTGCTTCCCAGTGCATACTATGTCCCCTCTTCTGGTTCCCACAGCACTGGGCGTCCAGTGTCCCAGCCTGATCACATTCTGTTGTGTCTGGTTCCTTATTAAGGGCTGAGACCCAGTCTCCTCAGTCATGGACACAGGGCCAAGAAGACATTTTTCATGGGCTGCAGTGGGATCAGAGCCTGCCTTCTTTGTCCTCCTCACAGGAAGCCTGGAAGGTGGGTCTCAGCTCCCTGGCCCTGACCCTACCCCTGGTTTCATGTGTGGTTTTGGCTGTATTGGGGTGAAGGAACATGGAGAAGGAGTTGGTCTCCACTAATTGTGCAGACATTTTTTTAGGCCCCACTGATATTTACCTCTGGAGTGGCCACATTTCCCTCACCCTCTGTAGCACCCAGCCCACAATGGACCCACACCTCACCTACACAGCCTCAGACCTCCACCAGTCTCCAGCAGGGAAAGGGCCACCCCCACCCTCTCTGCTCTTCCCCTTTGCATCCTCAGTCTTCTACCATCAGGGCAGCTCCCTCACTGCATGCCCCCACCTTCACACCTTAATTCACATTGTCCCCATCTTCCTTAAATCTCTTCTGCTCCCCAAGTCTTGTTCATTCTTGAGGACCCTGAATAAGTTCTACTTTCTAAAGCTAATGTCCCCATGGCTCAGGGGTGGCATCATAAGGTCCCTAATCTCTCCACCACCTAAAGGGATGCAGCTAAGGGGAGGGTCTTCTCTGCCCCAACCCAGGGGGGCCCAGCCCAGCATGTGACCAGAATACCCAACCCCACCCAAGTCCCATAAACTTTGTGGGCAGTTTTCTCCACATGACCCACCCCTACGGAGGACTATTTCTCAAGGACAAGTTTATTGCAGGGAGCACACTGACCTCTTTTATAATACCTAAAGGCATACCAACTACAAAAATATCAGCTCTCAGGTGTGAGCAGCTCGGTGTGGGGCTTGGTGTGAGCTATGACTTTATTGACAATAGGAGCTTTCTCCTGGGCTGCTGAAGCGAGGCTGTCCCAGCTTGAATCACCAATCCAGGTCAGCAGAGGCTTCAATGAGGTCTTGGAGGCTGGCAGCAGGGCCAGTGAGGGGAGGGACCTGAGTGTACCTTTTTTTGTTCCACTGGCTCCTGGACCAAGGGCCTAAACCATTGATTGCTTTCTTCAGAGTCCTTAACTTCCCAAGGCCAAGGGAGCAGAATAGAGCCCTCCCAAGGCTCACAGTGTAGAGAACCTCCACACACCCACAGTGACCTCCAGCCTCAGGGGCTGGCACTGGGATACTGATCCTGGAACCTGCTGGCAGAGCTGGTGCTAAGCAGAGAGCCTACCATGGCTGGGGAAATGCTGGGAGAACCAGGGAAGGGATGGACTGGGAAGAGGGGAAGCAGTACACAGATGGGGACACATCCTTGGCATTCCCCACCCTCAGGACTGGGTGCCATTGGCCCAGGCACCTGACAGGGCCCTCTTCCGGAAGGTCTGTAGGGCAGGGTTGTGCAGCAGCGTGTAGGTCAGACCCCAGCGAACCCTGCCTCGGCGGGCTCTGGGCCCTGTTCCCTTGGCCACAGGGTCATTGGTCTGCAGCAGCTGCATCCCTGAGAAGGGGAGACCTTCTGTTAGTCACTGCGCAAGCTCAGTGAAGCCTCCTGAACCCAGATCTGAACAGTCTGAAAATCCCCTGGGTGAGTGAAGACTAGTGAGACTGGAGTTCCAGCTTAGTGTTCCCCTCCCTACTACACACTTCCCAGATAGTGGGGGAGGAGACGAGAGAACAGACTGCCTGAGAGGGAGAGGTGGAGGGTGGCCCATAGTGGGGAAAGCCAGAGCCTCTTGGCAAGATGGCCATCTCCTCCTCTGTGAGAGGATGTCTGAGCATGCGGAGTGAGAAAGTGTGTGCATGTGTGCACATGCATGCATGTGATGGGAAAAATGGACCAGGAAAATTCTCACTTCTCTTTCCCACAGGCAGCCTAGGAACAGAAAGTAAGCATTTTCTTGCTCAGTGGTGCATGTTGGGGAGGGATGTATCCCTCCTTCCTGGGAGAAGCTGAGTGGGCCCAACTCTCCCAACCCCAAAGGGAAGGCACACCTTCTTCTTCCATCCTGAGTATGAGGTCATCCTGGGGGACTGGATGGGACTGAGGCTTCTGTGTTCGCAGGAGCAGGGTACAGAAGGCTACCATGGCTGGATGCGACTGGTTGACCTCAATCTTCAAGAAGTTATAGTATGTGCGGTAGCCTGGAGTGGGTGAGGGATGGCAGAAAGAAGAGCCCAGATAGTCCATAAATACACACACCTACACATCTACACATCTACACACACACACACACACACACACACACACACACACACACACACACACGTGCAGGCACCTTGCACACTGCATGAAAGCACATAGATACACCTGAGTACATGGCACATGCACTGCACATGGGCCCACTGCACACACTGATGTGGCAGCCCCAGACATGCTCAGAGAACAGGTTTGAACATAGACCTAGTCAGGGCATCAGGGCAGACCCTCCCTTGGAGCTTGGGCAGCCTGAGCATCCCCCATCCTGGCCCTGCCTGTGACCTTACCAGGGTCGAGAGTGGCAGCTCTAGGTGGCAGCAGGCTGAGGTTCATCTGACCAAGGTGGACAGCATTGTAGAGGGCAGAGAGGACCACTCGCCAGATGGCCACCATGATGCCCACCAGCATGTTGATGGGGAAGAGAAGGAAGGTGGCTGCATAGAGTGCGCAGCTAGAGTGAGGGAGAAGCAAGGCTAAGTCAGGTCCCCACATCTCCAACCCCTTCATCAGCTGATGACCACAGCTGCTGTGTATTTATTGAGTACCTCTGTTTATTGAGTATACTTTGTATGTACCCCACATCCTGTGCTGGGCCAACTCTCAACCCAACTGACCCTCCCCACCACTCTGGAAGACAGGCCACGCAATCCCTCCTATAGAAGGGAAACTGAGGCCCAGAGGAATTGGGTGACTTAGCTAAAGCTGCCTAGCTAGTCAGTGGCAGAGTTAGGATTTATGTTCAGTTCTACCTGAATCTTCCTATGACCCTAGTGTCTCCCACCTCCCTTCCCTGGTTCCCTAGTCCACTGACTCTGTGTCTCTCTTGGGGCCAAGGTCCTCCCACAGCCTTACCATCTAACAGGAAATGTTTCTGTTAACCTCCTTCCTGCAAAGAGGGAGGCACATAGTGTGAAGGGCATAGAGGATCCATGTTGATCCTTTGGGCTGTAATTAGACTGAGAGTTCTAATTTGTTAGAACAATGTTGACCTCAAAGCAGGGGAGAGCAATGTCGATCTCAAAGCAGGAAATGCTATGGGCTGACTCTGGTCCTGTGACCAATGTATGTGAAGTAGGCTTGGTTATTGTCCCATTCTCTGTGGGTAGGGCAATCTCTGTTTACTACCCACTGGTATTCCTGACAGAGAAGGGAGAGGTGGCAGTGGAGGAGGAAGGATACAGCTAAAGACAGGAAGGAGAAGAGGCTGAGGACCTAAAAGAGCCACAAACCCAGGATCTGCCTTACCGGTTGGTCAGCTCTGGCCATCCATGGTGAGTCTTCAGAAAGACCCAGTGGGCTGCCATGTTCTGCAGGGTTACAGCCAGGGCTAAGGTCAGCCAGAAAGGCCTGCAGATGGGAAAGGAGGGTGTAACTGTTAGTGGCCCTCTGGGAAAGGGTCCCAGAGCCCTCAGCCCTTTGCCTCTCTCACCATAAGGATGCCAGTGATTGGAGGAGCAGAAGGTTGCTGCCATAAAGAATAGGCATAAATACCAGGAAGGCCAGGGCCATCGTCCCCAGGAAGAAGATGATCTGCTGTATCAGGAGCCCTGCCAGGATGAGGAGGGAACAAACATCAGCCTCTGCAGGATCCAGTCCTCCCCTGGCACTCTCAGGAGCCCAAAGACTTTGGAATGGGCAGACCTAGTTTTAGATTCCTGCTCTGATGTCTCGCTGTGCCACCAGCAAATTCGTTTTGAGCTTTGGTTTCTCCCTCTGTAAAATGTGGAGTGTGGCCCCTACCAGGGCTGTTGTGAGGACTCAATGAGATTATGTCTGTGCAACCCTTTGAAAACCAGTAGGTACTTTGTAAATGTTATTTTCCCTCCATTGCTCCTGAGTCCCTGGGGAGCAGACTACATTTTAAAGTAATGCTTGCATTCTTACTGGCCAGAGTTGAATACAGTAGGCGCCCCACAGTTGTCTGATGAAACAACTGGCTAATTGTTTATGTGGGGACATGTACACAGGGTTTGGGAGATACAAAGTCCACTGAGATGAT